TTAACCTGTATCCTGTATGTCCTCCTTCACTTGCTGTCTTGTGGTTCTTGAGAAACTTCATCTTTTTTCCTGGAGCTTTACTGCTCTCTCTGTCAGGGTGTTTCCATGCCTGTCAGCCTCTGGGTTCTAAGGGTGCCAGAATCATTTCTTTTGTAGTGCATTTTTGTGTAGTGCTGAGCTCTTCTATTTGATGTTGGTCACAAAAAACAATTGACATTTTATATAGAAGTCTCTCTGTTCTGACTTATTTTTTAAAATTAAAAAACTTAAGATAATCACAATTTACAGGAAAGCTGCAATTTACATAGGTTCCCCCCCCCCCGAACCATTTGAGAATACATTGCTAATGTGGTACTCTATTACTCCTAAATACTTCAGTGTGTATCTCTCTCTGTCTCTCTCTCTTTTTTTTTTTAATCGGTACCAGGGATCGAACTCACGAACGCCTGCTTGCAAGGCAGGTGGTCTTATGCCACTGAGCTAAATCCCCAGCAATACTTCAGTGTGTACTCTTTTTCTTTTGAGATGCTCTCTTATATAACCACAGAATACTTACCAAGATGAGAAGTTCATTGGATTAATTAACCAGAAATTGATAAAGTACCATCATCTAATTCAGAGACTTTACTCAGATTTCATCAGTGGCTCCAGTAATTTGGTTTATAGCAAAATAATACAGTCTGTAATGATGCCTTGCCTTTATTTTTTTCAGTTTTTATCGTATTAAAAAGATAAAACAAAATTTTGTGACAAACTAATGAGAGTAATTTATAGTTAATACATTGTATCATTGTCTTCCACATATCTTGCCTTTCATTTCCATGCCTCTCCACACTTCAGTTCTCCCATGTTCCTTGACTTTCATGACCTTGATAATTTTGAAGAATACATGCTTCAATATCTAATCTCATATTCAGTTTTCTTTCTTTCCATATTTTTTCCATCCTTAATGAGTCAGAACTCGTGATCATATTATGTTTACTATAGTCCATCTGTATATAACAGTATCTCTTAAGGACCATTTTCATCTCTTTCTGGCACTGACATGATTTGGTTTCTGAAGCTAAATGCTGAGCAGCCCTTCTTGGATGCAGTACTGACATCGTTTGGGCTCTAGTACACAACATGCTCCATATCCTTCCCCACTCCCAGTTTATAGCTTCTTCACACCGCTGACTCTGATGCTGCCACGTGTGGTCTGCTGCTGTTACACCCTGCTTCTCCTTTGGTGCTAACGCCCCAGCAGGATTGGTCCTATTGGATACTGTCCTCACTCTGCCGTGTGTCTCTGTGTTGCCTCCATCCCTTACTCTGTGTCTCTACCCCTGCATACATGCCTGCCTTGTTTGGCACCAAATCTGACTTTAGAATGGAATTATTTAGAAGAGGAAGAAAAAACAGGGAAACCTACCTTTACAATTTATTTACTTTCTCTTCTTAGAGAAGTTTCTTATCTTCCTTTTTTCAATCTAAATATACCAGTATTAACCATTTTTTTAATATCTAAGTAAGCCATTAATCAGACCCAAAATTCTAATGGTGGCCTCTTTTTTGGCTCCATAATCTTGTCCTTTTTCATTAAGCTATTTATCATTTATTATTATCCTTAAGTTCTTAAGATGAGATTGGTCTAATTTTGTGAAGTAAGAACTTGTTACAGAGGTCATGTCCACTATAAAACAGCATTCTGTTTGCATGGCTTCCTCTGTCTTGCTTTCTAACTTTTGAAAATTAGGATTAAATAAATTATAAATATTTCTCTTATGAATAGGATAGACTTTAAACTTTTTTTTTTAACATTTTGGGAAATGTCCCCCCCACACACTTTTTTTTTTTTTTTTGCCTAAAACAAGTTAGAGATTAGCCAGCCTCTCCCATATGGCAGAAGGACCTGTCTACTTCTCCTGTCAACTGAAAGTGCTTCAAAGATAGGATCTGTAGACTCTTGAGAACAAGAGGTATCTGCCATAGACACTTTTGTGTTCTCAGTCTGACTACTATGCTCTGCTACACAGAAAACACTCTTTTCAGTTAATATTGGTTTGCTAACCCTGGTTTGTTCTTAGGTCTGATACCAAAGTCCATTTCTAGTACAATTATCAGATTCAGAATTAAGATGAGCTGTTTTTCTGTTTAGGTAATGTGTGGCTCTGTTAAAGACAGAGATTATCTTAACAGCACATTTCTCTAGTCTATTGGAGTCAGTTAATCATGAACTAAACTAAGTGCTTAGTGATTTGTATATACATCACCTATTACATTACTTAATTTTTCCTATTTTTTTACACATCTAGAAATAAGAAGGGATATTGGGAAGGTGATTCTATACTATTTTAAAATTTATATTAGTGTATGTTTGCAGTATACAGTGATTACATTCACTGAATGGAAATGGTATATGTACAGTAATACATCTCAATTCTGTTTTATACTGTCCTCTATCTTCTTTTATTTTGCCAGCATTCATTTATTTATCTTATAAATCATTATGAAGTTATTTACCATCCATACAGATTTAGCATCCAGACTAATAGGCCAAAAAACATGTAAAGCACATAAGACTAAATTAAGGTACATTTTTAGATACAATTGTCCATGCTGGGTAACAATAACTTTTTAATCTCTTTTTTCTTATTATTTGTCTTTTATTTCATACTAAATTTATATATTGTTTTTCATATAAGAGAAATCATATAATTTAAACACATGTGTCTAATTTAATTCCCTTAACATTATGGTCTCAAGGTGCATACATTTTCCTACAAATGAATTAAGTTTATCCTTTACAGTAGAGTAGTACCCTACTGGATATAAATATAGCATTTTCTTTATCCATTCATTCTGTTGATGGACATACGGAATGCTTCCAAGATCTGGCGATTTTCAATTGTGCTGCTGTAGTATTTCCCTAAAAATAAGACCTAACTGGAAAATAATCAGCCATGAAAACTAGAGATGAAAAATGCCAGTCCTATTCACCTTGCCTTATTTGCCACTACAGAGTAATCACTAAGCAAGAGACTAATGAGTTCTAATCTTCTGCATTACGCTGGCCATCACCATGGTAATGACCAGTGCTTATTTTCTGGTTAGGTCTTATCTTTAGAAACACAGTATGAAGATGAGAATGGTATGAGGTCCTTTAACTCTTGGGCAGATACCAAGAGGGGGAACAACTGAGTCAGATGGAATTTTTAGTTTTAATTTTTTAAAACTCCATACTGATTTCTATAGTAGTTGTGTTAGTTTGTGCTCTTCCCAACAATGAAAAAGGGTTCCTTTTCTCATCCTTGCTTCGCCAACATTTGTTACTGGTTGGTTTCTTGATGGTACTCCAAGATCATTTGCATTTGCATTTCCAAGATCAAATGAGATCAGGAATGTTCAGGGTGGTGTGGCTGTAGGTTATTCTCAAATGGCCTGCAGTGATGAAGATTTTTTCATGTGTTTATTGGCCATTTGTGTTTCTTCATCTGAGGAGTATCTATATAACAGTTTTGGAAAAATGTCCATTTTGACTATATTGGTTCCACCTATCCAGGAATAGGGCATATCTTTGCATTTTCTGATATCCTTTCATTTTTCCTTTTTCAGAGTACTATAGTTTTCCTTGGGTAGGTCTTTACTTTCTTGGTTAGGTTAATTCCTAAGTATTTCATTTTTCTTGATTCCTTTGTGAAAGATATTGTTTCCATAATTTTCTTCTTGATCAGTTTCTTAGTGGTATACAGGAATTCTATTGATTTTTGAATGTTGACTTTGTATGCTGCTGTATTACTAAATTTGATTATTAGGTCTAGGAGTCTTTTTGGGAGAGTTTTTGGGGTCTTCTATGCAGAGAGTCTTGTCATCTACAAATAATGATAATTTAACATCTTCTTTTGCTGTCTATATTCCTTTTATTTCTTTCTCTTGTCTAATTGCTGTAGCTAATGTTTTGAGAACTATATTGAACAGAAGTGGTAATAGTGACATCCTCGTCTTGCCCCTGATTTTAGAGGGAAAGCTTTCAAGTTCTCTCTGTTTAGTATGATGTTGGCCTTTGGTTTTTCATAGGTGGTTTTGGTTTTATCAGATTGAGATAATGACTTTCTCTTCTTATTTTCTTCAGGATTTTTATCATGAATAGATGTTGGATTTTGTTGGCTGTTTTTTCTGCATGTATTGAGATGATCATGTGATTTTTTTTCCTGCTTCTGTTTGCGTGGTGCATTACATTTATTGATTTGCATATGTTGAACCATCTCTGCATCTCTGGAATGAATTGTACTTAGTCATGATGTATGATCTTTTTTTATGCTCTGCTGTATTCTGTTTGCTAGTATTTTATTGAGGATTTTTGCATTTGTGTTCTTTAAAGAGATTGTTATGTGGTTTCTTCTTTGGTTGGGCCCTTTTCTGATTTTAGAATTAAGATTACTACTTTCATAAGTAACTTTGGGAGTATTGCTGCCCTTTCAATTTCATTAAAGAGTTTGAGGAGTATTGACATTAGATCTTCTCCAAAGTTCTTAGAGAATTTGTCAGGAATTGGGCTTTTTTTGTAGTTTTTAAAAAAATATTTAAAATTTTTATTTTAAAGGGGGTAAAATTAAACACAACAAAATAGAACAATATAGGACATAAGAAAGCAATGTAAAAGATACAAATTTCAAAGCTAGATGACCTGAGATCTTCACTGTCTATCATATTGTCTTGTTTTCTTCCAGATAGTTTTCTATGTCTTCGCATAGGTCTTCAAAACCAGACAATAGGGAAGTCACTACTGGCTGTTGTAGTCTCTCATTCTTTTCAAAATAGCTGTCCATACTTTCATGTATATTGAAGTTCAACAAAACAAAACAGGCGGTGGGGGAGGGATTGTTTGGTTTCCTAGTGCTCCAGGTCCCAGCATGGCGTGGGGCCCAATAAATGCCAGTGGCTCCTGTCATGGGCTGCCCTAGCCTGCCAGGCTTACAGCCACTCACATAGGGTTTGGGAGGGGAGGAGCGGTTGCTTCAAGTTGTTTCTTTGTAATGAATTGACCATTTCACAGCCCAAAGTTCTGCAATGGCCAACAGATCATAGAAGGACATCTTTATATGCTCCTGCTTGAAACCAATAGCATCAGGAAGCTGCCAGCCTTGATTCAGGGCCAGGGTAGTTTTTTTCTTAATTACTTCTTCAATTGCCCTGACTGATACTGGATTATTTAGGAGTTTTATATCTTATTTAATCAGCTTTGGTTGTTTATATGTATCTAGGAATTTGTCTATTTCTTCTGAATTTCTGATTAGAGTATAGTTTCTCAAAGCAGCTAATGGTAATCTGGATTTTGGCAGAATCCATTGTGATTTAGCGTGTTTTATTTCTGATTGCATGCGTTTAGGTTTTTATTTTTTTTGCTAAGAATGGCTAAGGGTTAGTCTGTTTTGTTTAATCTTTCAAAGAACTAACTCTTTGATTTATTGAGTTTTTATATTTTTTTGTCTCAATTTTATTAATTTCAGCTCTGATCCTTATGATTTCATACTTTGTACTAGCTTAGGGTTTGGATTATTCTTGCTTTCTAGGACCTTGTAGTGCATCCTTAGGTTATTTATTTGAGTTGATTGTTTTTCTGATGTGAGAATTCCCCACCATAAATGTTCTTCTTAGGACTACTTTCATTGTGCCCTCTAGGTTCTATGTGATACTGGCATTAATGTGTGTCTAATTTTTAAAATTTCAGATGATCCATTGATTATTTAAAAGAGTATTGTTTAATTTCAGTGTGTTTGCATAGTTTACGTTGTATCTTTCGCCATTGATTTCTAGTTTCATTGCACTAGGACCTGATAATATGCACAGGATAACTTTGATTCTTTTGCCTTTACTTAATCATACTTTGTTTTTTTTTTTTTTTTTTTTTTGTCTTTTTCCTTTTTATCGGTACCGGGGATCGAACTCATGACTGCCTGCTTACAAGGCAGGCGCTTATGCCACTGGGCTAAATCCCCAGCCCCACTTAATCATACTTTGTAGGATACTGTTTTGGAGACAGTTCATGTGCTGCTGAAAAAAATGTATATTCTGTTGTCTTTGGACAGACACTGTAGATTATCTGTTTGTTTGAAGGTTTAACTCTGATATTTCTAAGATTTTTTTCCTTGGTCTAGTTGATCTGTTTGTGACAGTGGAGTATTTAGATCCTCCTTTACAATTGTACTGTATTAATGTTTATCTGATTTTTCATGATCATTAGCATTTGTTTTATGAAGTTGTAACAAGTGTTTGGTGCATATATTAATTCCTTTAACCAACATGAGTTACCTTCTTTGTCTCTTCCTATTGGTCTCAGCTTGAAATCCATTTTATCAAAAGTAGGGATATCAATTACTGCTTTTTTTCAGGGTTCATATTGCATGACTTTATTATTTTCCATCCTTTTGCTTTTTAATCTGTGAGTTTCTTTTTGAATGAAATATTTTTCTTGTATGCTGCATATTGTTGGGTTTTGTTTCTTGATCCATTCTGCCAATGTTTCTTCTTTTTATTGGGGAATCAAGACCGTTCACATTAAAAGTTATTACCGAAAGATTTATAATAATTCCTATCATTGCTTTATTTTCCTGTTGCTGATTTCCTCAAGCTTTCCCCTTTTGTTTTACTATTTATCCTGTCAGGTATATTTATTCTTTTTGACTCATTGGCATTATTGACTTCATTGTTTCTGTAGGATACTCTTGATAATTTTTTTGTTATGTTGGTTTCGTATCTATGAGTATCTTGAGTTGTTTCTTGTCTTTGGAACTACCTTATTTCTCTTTCAATTTTAAGGGGAGGTTTTGCGGGAGACATAAGTCAGAGTTGAAAGTTATTTTGGGGAGTTTGAAATACTCTGCAAACCTTCTTTGTCTTTAAAGTTGTGTAGAGAAGTCTACTGTAATTCTAATGAGTTTACCTTTTTATGTGATTCCTTGCCTTTGCCTAACAGCTTTTAAGATTTTGACAAGTAATGTACTTAAGCTAATAGTGTAGCATGGAGAGGTTCTCTTTTGGTCATGGCTCTTTGTGGTTTTGTATGCCTCCTTTATTTGTGTTTATTTCTTTTCCTATATTTGGGAAATTTTCTGCCATTATTTCTGTGAACGGGGTTTTAAAAAAATACCATTTATGTTGTCTTCTGATTTTTCACATTCCACTTGTTTTAAGATAAAGCTTTAGATTGTCTAACAGTTGTTGGATCCATATTTTGTGTTCTCTTTTTGTTTTTTAAGGTATCTTTGATTGGTTTGTCTTTGAAGGCATCTTGTCTTCTGTTCTAAAATTCTGTCCGCACACTGGTCAATTCTGCTGCCCATACTTTCAATATGATTTTTAATCTCCTGGATTTCTGATTGAAATCTTTTCATGGTTTCTCATTCTTTGTTAAATTGGTCACTCGCATTTTGTGTCATTTCCTTTAACTAATCTACTTTTTTATTAGTGTCTTCTGAAAGCTCCTATATTTATTATTTTTATTATCTTATCTTAGTTATACTTTACCTTAGTTATATCTTTTCTAATCCCTCTGAGTATCTAAGCTGTGTTCTTAACCTCATCTGCTATCCTGTTAAGTAATTTGGGTGTATGGCCTAGGTGTATGCTACTGTGCTCCTTGGCATCCCCTGGATTGACTTCCAAGGATTTAGGCAGTTTGGGAGGTGTTTTGTTGTCTTTTCTTCTCATGTTTCTTTCTTGTCTGTTTTGCTTTCTACTGAGGTTTTTGCATTCTTATAGTCTTAACAATTTTTGCTAGCGTGGAATCTGTAGTTGCTTTTCAGTGATGTAATTCGGGTGTCCCTAGCTATAATCTTTTACCACAATCCCAAGATCCCACCATCTTGGCTAAGTTGAGAAGAGAAGTTGGCCCAGCAAGTCAGTTCTCTGGGAATGCACTCTGTATTTGTAAAGTCACAAAGACATTCTGCATGTTGGCTTACAGAGAAATAGTGACAATAACATGACCCTGTTAATTTTAAGCAAATCAGCTACAGTAGTATTAGTCAAGGCAAATTAGACTTTAACATACCATAAGAACCAATTACATACCACTGTTAATCTTAGAGAAGAAACTGCTAATTATGATGTAAAATTCAAGGCAATCCAGTTGATTTATAGCTAATGTATACTAGGTGTGACAGATATATCTTCACTAATGGTAGACAAGAATTAAACAGTAATTTTATAAGAGTTAACTATCAAAGTATTAACAAAGCTTTATAGTTACACTAGTAAAGATACAGGTTTTGGGAATGAGGGAATGCAAGAAGGAAACTTCAAACCTTAAACTCTATGATATGAAAAGGAGGTGGGAAGGGTGGTACAAAGAATCTTACTGGGGAGTAGGATTTTTACAGAATTAGGAAAGGTAAGAGAAAAAACTGGCAAGAAGTAGAAAATAGAAAAAGGGAGAAAAAAAATTATATAGAGATAAAAATAAGAGAAATAATTACAGAAGGAAAAGTAAAAGGGAGAAGAGGGAAAAGTAGAGAAAAGAAAAGAGAAAAAGAGGTGAGCAGTAAGACAAAAGACCAAGAAAGATTTCCCAGGCCAGGAAACTGGTAAAGAAGGAAGGGAAGAAAAGAAAAGAAAACAAATAATAAAACTATAAACAGTAGTTACAGAAAAACAAAAAGAGAAAAAAACTTCAACCAACCAAGCAACCCAACAAAAAGAAAAGAGTAGCAAAAGAGTACATAAAAGAAAAAACAAAACAAAGGCATTTCTGTGATTTAGAATGCGTGGTTTTCTTCTGGGATCTACAATTTTGCAGCAGTCTCCAATCTGAGATCTGTCCCTGTCCACGCTGGTAGATAAAGAAGTTAGACACCAGATCAGTGCAGTCACCAGCAAGCAGGCAGTGGGACTTACAGTTCCACCGCAGTTCACACTGAGGCTGGTCTGTGTGCTCATGGGATGTGACAGGCGCCTGGACAGAGAACTCTTGGAGCAGACAGCATCCATTGGCCCATTGCACTTCTGCCTTTCTCCCTCAAGATCTCCTGAGTCCTTGTGTTCACCATGTCTCTGTAGGTGAATCACAAGCCTGTGCCAGGAAAAAAAAAATACAGATTGCTTCTTCCTTTTTTCTGTATTGTGTTTTGTCTCTTCAGTTTCTCTGAAGGCTCCAGTTATCTCAGGAGATCCTTCCTGGGTCCCAGAAATCCACCTCCTCCTCCTTTTCTTCCCCAGTGTTAATTTTCCAGTGTTTGTATTCCCAGTTTTGTAGAGGCTGTTTTGTTTTTGCTTACTACTCTGCCATTTTCCTGGAAGCCCCATTGTTCTTGGCCCCTGTCCACTCCATCACCTCCAATTATGGTAATCTGACTCTACACCTGATGTACTACTTAAGGTCAGTTACTTAATATCTGAGAATCAGTTTCCTTACTTGTACAATGCAGGTTTAAATTACTTCCTCATTAGGTTTCCGTGAGGTCTAAATGAGGTGCAGAGTATAAGTGTGCCCCTACACATGGCAATATAGGTGCTTGATACAGGAATAATTTACTCTCCTATACTTTAAGAGGCCCCCCAGAAATGTGTTTTAAATTGAAATGACACTGAACTAATCGCCTTTCAGTCTTGATCATTATCTAAAAACTGTCATTACTCTTGACCCATCAGCTATGTGCTTGTTAAATTTGCTTACAGAATTAGATCCTGAACAAAAACTCACCAGGCTTTAGATTTTGGTAGGTAGTTTATATCTATATCTAGTGGGTGATAACTTTATGGTGAAGTAATTGTTTTTGCCACTAGGTGGTGTTTGTGCATTTGTGAGGCTGTCATAAAGTCACATTGTTTGGGAACATCCTGTTAACCTTGGAGAATTATATAGTGATGTTTATTCACCCTTTCCCTGTTTATCAGATATTTTAAGGGTAGGGGAAAAATTAGATGAGAAATTTAAAGTTGTTTTAGATTATTTTATTTACTGTTAGTTTAAATAGAGTGTTTAATGAAAAAAGAGATTAAAAGAACCAGTGGAATTGTGGTATTACTAGTTTTGTGCCATGTACATATCGCACCTAATCTAATTCATAAATTAGTTGGAGCTATCAAAATATTAAATCTATTATAGGACCATTTAACTTCCTATTTTTTTTCAGTATGATAAAAAATAAACACTCCGTAC